GACGTGTCCGGTGGCTACAGCGAACGCAGTGTTCCTCTGACGGGCTTTGAACTCGTCAGCGCACAGGTGTTGAGTCACTGCGGCATGCCTGCGGGACTGCGGCAGGCCATGGTTGATGCGGGTCGCGCCCACGGACTCACGCGATCCGAACTGGTTCTGGATGCGGACGGTGTGCTGCTGGACATCGGCAGCCAGGACGGAGTTGAGGCCGGTCATTCTGTCCTTGCCGGCGCGGTGGTGCTGGGACGAGTGGTTCAGGCCGGACACTGGGTCAGTCAGCTGCTGCCGGTCACCGATCCGGCCTTCACAGCCCGCATTCGTCTGGTGAGACCAACCGGTCATTCGGGCCGGACAACGGTGGAAGGCATGCTGGAAGGGACCGGTGACGCCTGTCGCATCGTGGGCGTTTCCGACACGGCTTCCGTTGCCGTGGGCGATGAAGTGTTCTCAGCAGATATCAACGGCATCGCGGGGCCGCGCGTATATTACGGAACAGTGACGGCAGCGACCTTCGAATCGGCCGGCGAATGGGCCATTACAGTTCGTCCGGCGGGACAGCTGGCTGATGTCGATCAGGTGGCCATCGTGGTGCCTCACCTGGATTCACAGCGTGTTGCCACCGGTTCTTCAGACTCAGGCGGGCAGGGCGGCTCATGAAATCATTCTTCATCTGTGCTTTGCTGTGCTGGGGAGCGATGATGCTCGAACAGGCTCGTCCGGATCTGCTGCCTGTCGGAGCTCTGCTGCTGCCGCTGGTGATCATCGGCATGTTCTGGAACAGAACCGCGTCGGGTGTCTTCTTTGGTGGTCTGCTGCTGATTGTCGACTGGGTCATCCGTCCGCATGGATTGCCGTTGATTCCGGTTGCCGTGACGTTCGGAGCCACCATGTTGCTGGCGTCCGCAGGCTCACGTGATACATGGACCGGCAGTCGTCGTCGCTGGAGGATCCCGGAATGGATGCATCCGGCTTTGCTGGTTGTCACCGGAATTGCTCTGCTGGTGGGCCCGGGCATTGCTGCACAGCAGATCACACCGGCTGCTCTCGGCCCGATTCTGGCCAAGTATGCGTTCGTCTCTCTGCCTTTCTGTCTGCTGCTGATCGGACTAATGAAGGTCGCTGGTGAATTTGGGTGGCGCCGACTGGTGTAGTATGGTTGGGAGATCGACCCAGCTGGATCCTGTAACAGCCTCAGACGCCGCGTCGTTTTTCGTCCATGCTTAACCAGCCCGCCAGTTCAGCATTCGCTCATGAGTCCACGGAGACGATCAGCCCAGGATCCGCCGGTCGATTTCGATTTCTGCTGGGAGTGTTCTGCCTGGCGGTCGTCATCATTCTTCTGCGAATCGGCTGGGTCCAGTCTCAGCTGCAGGCGGCGTATCTGGACGCGCTCAGCGTGACGACGACGGAGTACGAACTGATTCCGGCGCGTGACGGTCGAATTCTGGCGGATGCCGGAACTCTGGCGGCCGACGAAGAGCTGTATTCGGTCGAAGTCCACTATCGGTGGCTGGAGGAGCCGGTCAATGAACGCTGGCTAAGACAGTTTGTGCGCGACCAGCTGACTCGAGCAGAGATGAAAGACGAAGAACTGCAGGCTCAGTTCAGTCAGACAAGGCAGCAGCAGAGAACTCGGATGTGGCAGCAGCTGGAGCAGATTTCTTCTGCATCGGCAACCACCCTGCAGGACACCCGTCAACGCATTCAGCAGCGGGTGGAACGGATCGCCAATGATGTCAATCGTCGGCATCGGGAGCGTCTTCAGCAGCAGGCAGGACTGTCAGTCGCAGATGACGAGACATCCGCGTCACCGGAGGAGACGAATCCGTTTCTGAAGATTGCCAGTGCGATCCGTCGGGCCGTCACAACAACCCCGCATCGACGGGCCAGTGAGCGAATTGTGGTGCGGGAAGAGGAAGACTTCCATGCGGTTCTCAGGGATGTCCCACTGTCGATCGCCGCGGAAATCCGCGCCCATCCGGAACGGTTTCCCGGGACGCGCGTCACCGTCGCTACGCGCCGCATGTATCCTCAGCATTCACTGGCCGCTCATCTGGTCGGCGCCCGCACGGTACTGCGTGATGAAGAGCAGCAGCAGCTGGACGATGACACGCGCGAGGCTATTGGCGACTGGGTGCCGAGGCGCGGTCGGACCGGGGTGGAGTATGCGTGGGATCATCGTCTGAACGGGACGCCGGGATTGAGGAAGACAGTCCGCAATCGACGGCAGCAAATCGTGGAATCGACCGTGGTGCGCAATCCGGCCGCAGGTCGCGATCTGGTGCTGACGATTCATCTGGAACTGCAGCGCCTGGCCGAGCAGTTGCTGGCGGAGGCCCTGGGCGACATTCCCCGATCGATTCTTCCGGTGGACGACGACGAGGACGCGGTACCGCAGCCGGTTCCCGCGGGAGGCTGCGTGCTGGTGATGGATGTCCAGACTGGTCGACTGATCGCCGCTGCCAGTGCTCCCGACTTTGATCTGACGCTGTTCACGTCCGGGACGACCGAAGAGTGGGACGCTGTGAACGCGGACAAACGTCAGCCGTTTTTGTCGAGGATGACAGGGATGGCGCTGCCGCCAGGATCCGTGTTTAAGCCGCTGACGGCGGCGGCCGCCATGGAGAATGATGTGCTGCAGCCGGACATGCCGTTCTATTGCCAGGGTTATCTGCGAAACCCCGACGAGCATCGATGCCTCATCTTCCGATCGTACGGTCGCGGACACGAAGACATCACTCTGCATCGCGCACTGGCTCAGTCGTGCAACGTCTACTTCTTTACGGCAGCCTCGCGTACGGGCATTGAGCCGCTACTGGACTGGTGCAGTCGTTTCGGATTCGGGAGGCCAACCGGAATCGATCTGCCGTTTGAAAAGTCGGGCACGCTCCCGCCCGGCCCGCCCCCTCAGGCTTCGGAGCAGGTTCGCCGTCGATTCGAACGGGAGACCCTGGGACTGGCGATCGGTCAGTCGCGCCTGACTGCCACTCCGCTGCAGATCGTTCGCATGATGGCAGCGATCGCCAACGGAGGCTGGCTGGTGGTGCCCCATGCGGTGAGTTCTGATGGAGTTGCCAGAACGTCGGAGGAAATCGACGACACGCCGCGGGATCTGTCTCGTCAGCGTGTGACGGGCCTGCAGGATGCTACTTTGCGAGCCATCCAGGAAGGGCTCACCGACGCCGTGGAACAGCCGTATGGAACCGGCTATCGAACGGTTCGTCTGGAAAATGTGCCCATCGCCGGTAAGTCGGGAACCGCGGAAACCTCACCAGGTAAGCCCGACCATGCCTGGTTTGCAGGATACGTCCCGGCGGCCGCTCCACAGTTTGCTTTCACCGTGGTGCTGGAACACGGCGGATCCGGAAGTCGAGCGGCCGGGCCGCTGGTTCGTGAGCTGGTCAAGTCGATGACGGAGCACGGGCTGATTGAACGCACCGCGACAGAGTCCGAGTGAAACATGTCGGGCGGCTGAGAAACAGGCGCGACCGGAAGTCGTCTCCAAACGAGTCCCGGGCGATGCTGTCAGCCGACGGCGCGAGCCGCGGGTCATGAATCTGCAGGGTGCGGCTCAGACAACCCGAGGCTGGTGCCTTCGGCTGACATTGTTGCAGCCGCCTTTAGTCCGCAGGGAGCTTCAGCAGCCACTGGTCGAACACGGAGTCAATCTGAAACTCGGTGATCCCTCCCTTGAGCATGCGTTCGATGTCCACGCGGGACTGCTGCATACGCTCGGCTGCCGGATAGTGAAACGTATTCACAGAGGGGACCACCGGGACGCCAAGCCTCAAAGCTGCCTTGATGTCTTCGCTCGTGAATGTCCTGCCGCGTGGAAAATAGAAGTACAGCGATGCCACATCCTCACCGCGTTCGCGAGCCGCCACGATATCATCAAAGCCACGACTCATCCGCAGTTTGCCTCGAAAATGCTGCTTGGCCTCTTCCACTCCAATCATGTAGGCCTGCGACAGCTGATGATGCTGACGCATGGCGTCTTCGATCTGCTGCAGGTATTCCCGAGGCAGCTTCTGCTTCTCACCTTTGATGTCCAGCATGATACGCAGGCGGCCTTTGCAGGCAGCCAGGTAGTCGGTGAGTCGCAGGGGGCTTTCGCCGCCGGGAGTCGCCTTCAGCTGTGAAACTTCCTCCCAGGTGAGTTCTCCGACCTTGCGAGAGTCATTGTAGTAACGCTGGAATGTTCCGTCGTGATGAGCGATGGG